GGAGCCTCGACTCCAAACCGCTGTCCCAAAGCCTTACTTGGAGGTTCATGTTTAGGGTTTAGGGTTTAGGGTTTAGGGTTTAGGGTTTAGGGTTTAGGGTTTAGGGTTTAGGGTTTAGGGTTTAGTCATAAGTGGGGTTATAAGTAGGGTAACTATACTAATAAAGCATACTACTTATAACTACCCATGAACCTCCAAGTAGACGATCAAGCCCAAACCCCCCAACTCTACGTCTAATCATGATTAGAATAGGATATTGGGGTCTGTCCAGAAAAAGGCATAAGGAATAGTATAATCATGATTTTTCAATAGGATTTTGGGGTCTGTCAAAAAAGAAAGCATGAGGAAGAGTATTCGGATATTACGGGCTTCTGTCGTATCGATTCAACCCTTAACTCTACACCTGACTGAAGCCCACTACCCCAAGCCCACATTCCTGTCTGGTCCTTCTATACATACATACTACTTCACTTTAGCCCAGGGGCTCATTCACTGCTTATGCCCTAGTGGAAAATCTTATGTAACCCGAAAGCCCTACAGCTTGATGCACCCCTCTTGAAATCCCTGGAAACCCCCTAAACCCTAAACCCTAAACCCCAAAAACGTTAAACCCTAAACCCTCCCCAATTTCATGTTTTGGAAGGCCCCCTAAGAAGCCGCACTCCTTCCCAAATCCGACACGCTAAACACCCTAAAGTTATGGTACTTGGAGGTTCATGGGTAGTTATAAGTAGGGTGATTAAGGTCCCTTGAAAGGGATCTATAGGGATTCTATAAGGGCATAGGGTTTAGGGTTCATGGGTAGTTATAAGTAGGGTTGTAAGTCACCTAAAAGGAGTTGAAAGTACATAGTTACCCAACTTATAACCCGACTTATAACTACCCATGAACCTCCAAGTAGTCTACATCAACAAAAACCAGAAGAATCTTAAACCCTAGTTAAACCCTTACCCTATACCCTAAGCCCTATCGAATCCCTTTAAAGCCCCCAACGAATCTGCTCTCCTCCTGCTCCAGGGGATGCCGCCACCACATCCAGCCGGCGCCCCGCAGCGAGCGCCGCAGCGAAATACCTCGAAAGACTGAGGGTTTGGGTGGGTAAACCCTAAAACCCTACACCCTAAACCCTATACCCATATAGAATCCCTATTGATCCCTTTAAAGGGTCCCCATTAGAGGTCCCTCCTTTTTCCCATCTGACTCAAGTCTCGGAGCCTCTGAGGACGGAAGTGTCCAGGCCGAGAACATCTCTCTTCTGCAGCCTGCGAGAAGTTTCGGGTTCAGTGGGTTTAGGGTTTAGGGTTTAGAGTTTAGGGTTGAGGGTTTAGGGTTTAGAGTTTAGGGTTTATGGTTTAGAGTTTAGGGTTTAGGGTTTAGAGTTTAGGGTTTAGGGTTTAGGGCTTAGAGTTTAGGGTTTAGGGTTTGGGGGTTTAAGATTCTTGTACTACTGTTTCTTAAAAGGGTCATGGGACTTAGTAAGGTTTAGGGTTCCTTTTAATAAGGGTACTGTAGGGTTCTATAGTGGGGTTCCTTGAAAGGATCTATAGGGGTTCTATAATGGGGATCATGGGACTTATCCACTGAGGTTATGAGTACCTTAATTGGGTTATAAGTAGTTATGAGTATAGTTACCCTAATTATAGCCCTAGTTCCTAAGTCCCATGATCCTATAAGTTCGGGTTCAGGGATGAGCAGCTAATTCATGCTCTCTCATTACTATCGAGCTCGAGCATTTACGGTTTCAGGGCTGCGGGTGCGTGAGGTGAAGCGTGGGAGTTCGGGCTTCGTGTGCTTCTTTTGATTTGAGGGTTGAGGGTGCTTGGGTTCTGCGTTTCGGGTTTGATGGGTCTGGGTTTGATGGGTCAAGCCTTTAAGGTCTGCGTCCGGGCTTGGTCCTCCATAGATTTGGATGCCATCAGGCAGACTTACGCATGCTACCTCTTTTTGCTGCAATACTGCGCCTCTTAAAGGACCGGTGGAAACAAAAATCCTACGGCCTGAACCCTAAGCCCGAGCAATATAGGGGGCCTCAGTTCTTAGAACAGAGTTTTGCGGTCCATCATACTATAATCATTATAAGGATAAGTATTTAGGCGCTCATATTATAGTACCCCTATGGATCCCTTTATAGCAACCCTTATAGACCCCTTTTAGGGAACCCTATTGGTAATTGTTTAGGCCCTTATATTACCCAGATGGCCCAACCCCTAAACCCGAGTAGCTGCGCCCCGACCTCACCGAGAGCGACTCGGAGATCTTCGGCAATGGAAGGACCCTCAGTTTCAAACGGGTACTACAGGGGCTTGAATAATTACCAATACTATTTAGGGCGGGGGTCCGTTTTATAAATATAGGTTCCTTAACACCCAAGCCTAAAAGTCCGAAGCCCTAAAACCCCAACTCTAAAGCCCAAAAACACGAAACCCTCAACCCTACAAATCCTCAACGGCAAAAGTCCTAAGCCTCCTTTTATGAGCTCTAACCCTCAATCCGAGAATGCTTGATGGGCTTTCAAACCCTCAAGTTCGAGGGTTTGCTCTGAGGGTGTTGGTGCTTTAGAGCTTTAAGGTTTGGGTTTTGAGCTGCAGGTTTGTCGCATCCAGGAGAATCGTGACTGGCTATGGGTGCTAAGCCCAATTCAAGAGTTCTTTGGGTTGCAGAAGACAGGCGAAGGATAGTTTTCGAATCTCCCTCCTTGGACCTGGGCATTTTGGCTTCAGGATTTAGGCTTCGAGGACTCGGATGCCGTAGATTTCCGCATATGCACGTCTGGCACGTCTAAGTTTGGGGCTTCGGCTCCCTATTGCCGAATGCGAGATTCCGTGTAGCCTCAGACCCCACCCTAGCTGGACACGGTTTAGGGTTTAGGGTTTAGGGGTTTAGGGTTTAGGGTTTAGGGTTTAGGGACAACCACAACAATCAACAACACACGACAAAACCTAAACCATGAACTGTAAACCCTAAACTGTGGGCTGGCGAATGTTATCGACCGCTTGCACCATCGAAAGCCTCAAAGTCTGGGAAGGAGCCTTAGTAGAAGCTTCAGGCATCCAAAATGGGTGTCGGGATAGCCACAAAGTAGTATCCCCTTAATGCTTGCATGATTACAGTATGTTACAACCCCAAATCCCTTCTTTAATTCTTCTTCTCATTATTACCATTACTACTATTACTGTTATCACTACTATTAGTATTCATTTCGCTGCTATTGTTACCTCCGCTACATTCTAGCTCCCATGGCCAGGTGGCGGCTTCGATCGGCTGGCTGTGCCTGTAGCGCGGCTGGATGTGCCGGCTGTGGCCCGCGACACCTGTACGCCAAGCTTCGGGCACCCGATCTCGAGACCCTAACCCCCTGAACCCTAAATCCCGAACCGTAAATCCCGAAATCCTATAAAGCCGAAAATCTGAAGAAGGAGTTTAGGGGCTTGACCTGGAGCCACAGGCAAACCGACATTGCAAACCCGTCTCTCAAGCCTCAAGCTGAAGTCCCTCCGGTTCAGGGATAAGGGTTCTCAACGCCGAATGCTCTCCGCGCAACCCATTCTGCTCCTTTCTGGGTTTAGAGAGGGTTTAGTGAACTGCCCCAAGATCTCAACCCGGAGTCAATCCAGCGCACCCCTATGCCCAAGGAGATCTCGCCCAAGGTGTCGCCGAGGGTGGCGGGTTTGTAGCTGGATATCTCTTCCTGCACTCAGCAGAAAGGGCGCTTCAGGCTTTTTGCGTCGCAGGAGCAGGCAGGTTACAGCCTACAGTAGGTGTTCCATGGGTTTCAGACTCAGGGTGTGCAAACTTGCCTTACGAATCAGAACTGGGTTTGGGGTTTATGACTTTACATTTACATATGGCTGGTGAGGGGATCCGATTACTAAGTATTCCGACCTACATTACGGCTTCGGGAAACGACCGTCTTGGCTTCTGTTGGCACATGTTGACTTACGTAAGGCTTTCAGCATTAGAGGCCTATTAGAGGCATCGAAACACCGGAACGTACTACTACTACTACTACTACTACTACTACTACTACTACTACTGCTACTACTACTACTACTACTACTACTACTACTGCTGAAAAAGACTTCAATTGCACACTAATACCAACGACTTCCATGCTACCATGTTTCGGTCCTCGTCTATGCCAGGTAGCCGCGAGTCTGAGTCTGCTTCAACCAGCGCCGGCTGTTGTCTAATGAGGTCCTGGCACGTTTAGGGGTTTAGGGGTTTAGGGTTTAGGGTTTAAGGTTTAGGGTTTAGGCTATGGCTTTAGCGGTGTACCAGCCTGAATAGTTAAGACTTACGGTTGAGGCTATGGGTGTAATCTAGACGCCTGAACAACTGGGATATGTTTTGGGGCGGCTACTATAATTATAGTTGCTGGTCAGGGCCCCTGAGGGTTCAGGCTTAGAGTTTTGGGCTTGCTTCTCGATAGGGCTCACTGTGCCGGGGGCCGGGTCGGGCCTCACAATTCCAACAATTTTTTGGTGTATATGGCAATCTCTGCTTATTGAAGGAACCTAAAGCAAAAGTAATGGTAACTGCTGGTGTGAACCAGCAGGCTGGGAATAAGATACAAGTGGAGTGATCAATTCCCCTGCACCAGAACTCCCAGACATGGCTCACACAGTAGGCGGAGTTATTTTTTACACGCAAGCAAAGGACCGAAGTTAGTGCTACGTTGGGCGTGGCACCTACAACTATGGTACATGTGTTTTGTTTAAAAGCGTGCTCAAGGCTCAACCTGTGCATAGCCTAAAGAGCGACGGAAAAATGAACATGTACAACTGGCATGCGGCATGAGCTGCAAAGGTGGCATGCACTTCAGCACTCCTCCTTCGCGGCCCCGCCAGGGAGCTGCGACCTACATGCTACTGCAGGTCCAACCCGTCAGGGTGACGACACACCTACCCTGAACTACCTGGCAAAAGCTGGGCCAACTGCCCTCACTATGCGAGGGCTCTCAAGGCACCTCGTGTGGGAAAAAGACACAGCTACGGATGAGCTCACTGAGAGATCCAACCCGCAAGGGTGGAGTAGTTCCTACCCTGTGCTGTGCTGGGTGTGGTCTGCAGCGCTCCCGTGGCACTGCTGGCACACTTCGAACTCAACAAACCTGTGCGAGTGGGCGAGCGTGGAACAGGTCTTAGTGCGGTGGAGCTTGGTCCCTTCGGGTGTTGCAAAGTAGCGCGTTGGTGCTCCACCTGCCTGCTCACGCGTGCGAGTTGTTTGTGAGGGGCGGCGTCTGGGCGCTGCAGCAACAGACTGCGAGCTTGCTGCCTCCTCACGTGCAGAGATCTCGGCCTGGATGGCCTGCGCAGTTTGATCTCGAAGGCGCTGTAACTTGCGCGCCTTGCGGGGGCTCAGAGACAACACGGGTGTCCCTGCCTCTCGGCGGGAGATGACGCCTGGAAGGCACCACTTGAAGAACTCCCACACTGCAATGAAGCAGATACCAATGCAGATGATGGATACTGCCAACATCAAATCTGCATCAAGCGACACGGGGAGAGACAAGTCTTCTTCCTCGTCCGTTGTCTGGCTGGCAGCACCTACGACCTGAAAGAAGGCGAGCAAGACAGCGAAGGCACTCAGCTGCAGGTCTTGCTGCGCCACGGTCCCAGTGCCCACAGCTTGAGTTTCACTGTAGGCCTGAGCTTCCGCCCGGCGAGGTACGCCATGCTCAAGCAAACCCCAGATGGCTGCGAGCTCAAGGATCCTCGCAGATGGCAGTGCTTTCGTCAGAAGATCTGCGGCCTGCTCAACACCTGGGCAGTAAACAGGGATGATTTCTCCTGCCTCATACTGCTCGCGCAAGTAGTTGGCGCGCACCCTCAGGTGGCGGGTTCGCCAAGACCCGTGACCGATAGCGATGGCCAGTGCAGACTGTGAGTCAACCCTCAAAGTCTTGTCGAAGCTAGACACCCCGAATTCACTCAGCATGGCCTCTGCTGACTGAAGGGCAACTACCGCGTCGAGTCCAGCAACAAGCTCGGCTTCTGCGGTGCTGAGAGTGACAAAAGACTGTCGTGCTGAACGCCAACACACCGGCGACCCGTGAAGGAAAACCACCCACCCCGTGTGAGACCGATTCCCTTCTGGTGCGTAGCTGGCATCACTGTACGCGATCAAGCCTGTGTCATCCGCGTCAGCGGTGAGGGATAGCGCCTTGGTACGCTGCACATACGCAAGGGCCTTTTCTGCAATGCGGATGGCTCGTTGCGGCGCCTTCGTGCTGAGAGAGGCGAGCACACAAGCAGTGAAAGCTAAGTCAGGCCGGGTGCGCTGGCTCAGCCACAGGATTTCTCCAGTCAGTCTCTGCGCTGTTCGAACGGTCTCCTCGGTTGGGGACTCGTCCGTCAGGAGAGTGTCAAGCGAAACAAGGTCACGCGGACAGGGGACCTTACCTAGTGCAGTGGGCTTCACGTCGTTGAGACGCAGCAGCTCTTCGGCGTAAGCCTGCTGGGACAACACAACCCCGGAACCTTGCACTAGGATATCAACCCCTAAAAACCTCAGCGGGTGCTCTGCGGTGGCAAGTGCGAGAGGCGTCGTTTTCCAGATGCCCTGGATGGCCGTAGCCAAGGCTTCGATAACCTCTTTACTGCCTGCAAGCAAAAAGTCGTCAACGTAAGTGAGCAACCCTCCTACGACTACCCCGTCAGAGGTGCGAACAACACGCCACCAGTTTGGGTCCAACCTTCCTTGCTGGAGCTGCAGTTCAACTCCGTCAACAACACACCTCAGCGCCCGAAGTTGGCAGTCTCTGAAGTCCGACCAAAGCTTAGGCGACTCCCTCAACCCGTACACAGCGTGCGTGAGGATCCAAAGCTCCCCTTCCTCTGCCAAACCTAGTCTCACTAACAACCTAGGCGGCGTGAGAGCAAACACTGGAAAACCTCTGCCTTGCGGGATTGGGGTCAACAGAAAAGCTGAGGTGACATCTAGAGACCCGATGCACCAATTCCTCTTGGAGCTGATGATTACAAAACAACGGAGTGTCTCTGCAGCAGCACCTGAAGCGTAGACTTCAGACCCTGTGCCGGGGGCGTGGTTGCCACAAGCGACCAAGCGAGCCTTGCGTTTGTGGTAAGCTTGACCCTTCCGGGTAGCGAGGGCAGCGTCACCTTCAGAAGGGTCTGGTGGCTTGACTGTAAACACAAACTTAGACGGAACTACCTTCACTTCCTTACGCCTAAGCCAACCTCCCGAACGGACCTCTGCAGGGGGCAGTCGCCGCACAGCCTTCTCAATGACACCGATCTCTTTGTGAATGGACGGCATCCACTTCTCGATGCATTGCTCTGCATCCCGAGGGTCTACAGTGTGAACTACCTGCAGTGGTTCTTGCAACCCGTCAAGCAACAGCTCTACGTTGGTAGTGTAAACCGGCTCAGACTTGCAAAGGGCACAAGCTTCACTCGCGTCCGAATCGTCAGACCTGAGAACACACAGCTGCTCACCTGTCTGCGGGTGTGGAACCCACAACTCCCACAGCACTGGTTGTTCCGGCAAGGAGTCTTCGCTTAAGCTCTCCTCCTCCTCAACCTGTGTCTCGGTGTCTGGTTGGCAAGCCAGCAGGGCGTGCTCAGACTGGGTTCGCCTTTGGTCCGGCGAGTGTTTCAGGTTCCACGACACCTCCAGCTCTACAGTACCTGCTTCTACGGCTTGGGTTTCTTTCCAACCTCCGCCCTTAAGCACAGTCCCAGGTGCTAACTCAGAAGTCTTCCCGTCAGGGTGACGTGCCGTTGTCTCCTGAAGGGGCTCTTCTTCGAAGCAGTCAAACGCGTCTAGACGTCTCACGTCTTGCTGCTCAGTCAGCGGTAAACGTACCGACGCTGGGAGTGGAAAACCTAAAGCTTCAAGGCTTTGAAACTCGTGCTCGAGCTCTTTGCCTAACGTGTTGACAGTGTAGCCGACAAGGACTGCTCTCTCACCCTTCCAGGGAGTGGTGGCGTGGCGGCGAGTAGGGTCTAGGAAGAAGGGCTTACCGCGCTCTAACTTGTGAGTTGTCCCTAACCAGCGCCTGCCTTTGCCGTCGACCCGCTCCTCTACAAGGCCACTGACTAGGTCACCAGGCTTGAGTTCTATCCACAAATCCCCTCCGTTAGGCGGGAGCTTCAAAGGGATGACTACATTTGTGGATCCCTGCAGGTTGTGGTGGTCGGCGTGCACGGGTTGAACAGTGGAGTTAGACAACCAAAGCGAGGTGTACTCAGCTGTGGGTGCAACTGCGGAAAGCACCATATTCATAAGCTCTGTCAGCCAAGGCTTATCTGTGGTACCCCCTAAAACTCCTACGACACCTCCGTGACGGTACAACCCAGCTTTGTGTTGCAGCTGGGGCGCTGCTCTGCACACTTCGGCTAACACCCACAACGCTTCATCAAGGTCCCAGTCGTCCTCGATAAGCTCCGTAGCTAAACCTTCAAGGTCTTGCAGACTCAAGCGCGCTACACGGGCAGACTCCTCCTCAACCGGTGACACAGGCCCTTCCGGGTGTGGAGCTTCTGCTGGCGGCGGCAAGGGAGGCGGCGGGTCAAGTGCAAAGACGTCGTCAAGTCTCACACCAGCAGACCGCTTGCCGCGAACCCTGCGTGGAGGTGGTGTGTGCTCCTCCTCAAGCGAGTCTCCTACAAACTGCAAGGGCGGTGGATCCGGAGAAACAAGGCGGGTGCGAACATGGAGTGTTTGCACAAAGCCGTTGCCAACACCATCGCTGCGCAACACGATGTGACCATCATTCACAGATGGTGACAACCCCATATACTTACCTTCAACCCATCTATCCTCCAAATCACCCTTCTTGCTAAAAAACTTTCGCTTCACGGAACACTTCCCTCCAAAATGGATGGCAAGCTTGGACTTCATGCCCAGCTGCTGCGCCCGTTGCTGAGCTGCAGCTGTCATGATTGCACAAGGCCACAAGGACGAGTCGACCTCGCCAGAGGTGAGAAGGGTTCGTGCTCGTGCTTTGAGCCAGCGCACGGTGTTCTCAGCAGAGCCGTTCTGCTGCGGAACGTCTCCTTCTGTTGTTGTTGTGCGGACTCCACGCTCGTGAAACCAAGCTCGAGTCCTTTTGTTGAAGAACTCACGACTGCGGTCTGTGTGGAAACGAAGCACGGGGAGGTTTAGGGACCTTAGGGAAATGTACACCTGTTGGAGGGCATTTAGGATATCATCACCCTTGTTTGTGTGAAGTGGCACTGCAAACACCAGCCTCGCCATGTCAGGCGGTGTTTCGAGTTCACACCTGGCTGACTCCCAGGGATGCTCCTCGGCAACTTTGGCTGCAAACTCCCTCGGCCCTTCAACTCCTTCACCTTCCGCCTCCTCCTCTTCTTCCGCTAAACTTGGCTCGTACAGGGAGTCCTCGTAATCCTCGTGCGGGGGGCCTTCTGCTGCGGGAAAGGCCTCATCTGCAAGGTCATCCGTCCCTCCCGGGAGGAGTGCTGCATCATCAAACCCCTCGGTTTGGCTGGGGTCTGACTCCTCCTTCACTCCTTTGAGCCGTGGGAAGCGGTACGACACAGCGAGGAAGTACTTGAACGTGGCTGGTCGGTGGTTGCGGCTTTCTGGGTCTTTGCCCTTCACACGGATGGGCCCCGCAATGTCGGCTGACATGCAATACACATCCGGGTGAACTACACCGTGGTGGCGGCGGCCGTTTCCGGCACCGTGCACGCAAACTGCACAATCACGGCGGTACGGCACGTGATTGTTCGCAACATGCTGTTCCCAATCCGCCTGGGTGAATTTCATGATGCGGTAACAGGGCCAACGTTGGAGTGCGTACACGATGGCTTGCACAAACCCCGGCGCCCACACTGGAGACACACGGCTGTCGGTGCTACCACAAACCTGCGATACCTCACCCTGAAACGCTTGCAAGTCTCTAAGGTCGGGCAAGTTGGTGCCAACAGTTGCGGGTTTATCGCCCGCGTGCCCCAACGGACCTTGACGGAAATGCACCTCAAACAAACCAGCCTCTTCAGCGTAAGTTTGCCACAGCGCGGTATTCCAAAACGACGGGGCGCTACCCACAGCAGAATGGCTTGAAGCCATGTGGTGTTCAACCGACGGTTGCTCCAACATGAATGCCACCATGGATGTTCCATCCGACGGGTTAGGGTGCACACGCCTCCCGGCGGTGGAAAGTGCATGCAACCACAACATGCGAGCATACAAACCCGTATCACGATCAACGAGATCACGCTCGTCAGAGGTGAGAGTGCTCAGGCCAAACGGTTCAGTGGGCGAGCGGAGTGGATGTGGTCCATCGGCGCGGTGCCCTGACATGGACCACGTGCGGGTTGGTGGACCTCCAATGACCGCCGCAACTCGTCCCAACTTTGCAACCTTAGCAAGAAGCGTCCAAAGCGGATCATGGTAAAGATCTTGGCTCCTTGAGCGGCAAATGTCAAGCTCAACAACAACTGTATCCTGCGACTCCAATCGTTTGAAAGCCTTGTGCGAGCCAGGGCCCGCAAACAAGTGAACAACCCAATTGGATGCTCGATGAAGTGCCTTCCTCCTTCGCCGGTTGAGGTTTGGCATACCTTCTTCAAGAGCTTTCCACAAAGTCTTGGAGTCCACATCTTCCGATGGGAGTAGGCCTGACAATGCACGATCGGGCACATCCTGAAAGAATGGCGCCGTGGATACTGCCATGTGGCCCGCTGCTGGCGCTGACGAGCTAACATGCTCAACCAAATGATCCCACCATGTGCGCTGCATCGCGATTTTCGCTTGTCTGATGCGATCCTTCCCCTCATCCGTCCTTCGCCTGAGCTCCTCAACCTGTTGCATTTTGTGCTCCTCCAACCGTGATATCAACGTGAGGGCCTGGCTCTCAACCAATTCCGGGCAACCGTTTTTTTACCCTAAGCCTCAACGACTTACCATCAGGAGGATACAGCTTGCAACTACCGGCTGACCAAACCAATTTATACCCAAGTTGCTCGATGATTGCGCCCATTGGGACTATTGGCTGCACTAGGCCATCCCTCCCTGGAGGCAGGAGCAAAGTACCTGAGGATGTGAGCCGCATTGTTGTGGTGGTATCGCCGGCTAAACTCACTTGTACTTCCGATGCGGCCTCCCACTCCTCCTCATCCATCGCCTGCCTCATGGCATGGGTGGCCCCAGAGTCCAAAAGCGCATATGCTATGGGTTTGGGGGCCTCAAGCAACCCCCCATTCTCGGCTCGAGAATGGGGGTTTGCCAAACCCTGATTTTTTGCATTTCCCAACCCGCGAGTTGGAGCCTCCTGATGGGGGGGTTGGAAGTCCCGGTTTGGGAGACCCGAAACCGGGAAACAGCTTGCGGGCACGACTGAGCGAATCGTGAGCCTCTTCACCGAAGGATTGGGTGCAGACGATGCGGGCGCAGCCGGTGCCGGTGGCACTGAGGGCTGCTGCGATGCAGTACTCAAGCCTTCCGGCTGAGGTTGAGGCGGCTGGGCTTGCGGCGTGGTGCCGCTGCACGGTGGATTGGCCTCCAACTGCCTCAAAGCCTGGACTGCCTGTTGCATGAAGGTTTCCATGTTGAGCACTGGCGTGGCTTGGACAACGGGTTGGCCCGAGGATGTGGGGGATGAGGCTGCCTGTACGGAAGGTTTTTGATCCGGTGCTTTGGGTTCCGCCTTACCGGCCTTGCAATCCTTAGCGCGATGCTCCTCGGAACCACAATTCAAGCACTTCTTAAACCGTTCCGCCTTAGACAACTCGTTCATGGAGTGTTGGCTTTTGCACTTGGACCCAAACCTACACCCCTTCGGCGAAAGGAAATACTTGCATGTGTTGGCATTCCCTCCACCCTTGCCTCCACTCCCCTTTCCCGGCTTATCCCCAGCAACACCAGCTGCCTTCAATGCCAGGTTACCTGATCCACCCTTTTTGGCAACATGAGCTCCAGCCAAAGTCTCAAACTCGGCCAACAAATGTTTGTGGTAGGATTTGACCGCCTCTTCCGAGGGTCGACCATGCAACTGCAGTGCACTTTTCACCATCTCGGTTCGCCATGAAACCTCCGGCTCCTTAGAGATGACGGGCTTTGTCATTGAGGTTAGGCCTCCCACCAACACCATTGGATCCGGCAAACTCATACCAAAGTCTATGCACCTTTGATACCACCGTCCCCACGCCCTCAATGCTGACACACCTGAGGCTGCATCCTGCACCACATGGGGATTTTGCAAGTTGCTCAACACCAGGTTGCGTTCCCCTGTTCCCCCGGGCTGGTAGGTCGTATACAGCCTAAACAAGATCTGTGATGCAGCTTGATTCGCTTTACGGGCTATGATATCGGATTTAACCGTGGGGTCCAGGGCATCTAAGAGCATCGCGCATGCACGGGCATTCACTCTCCCCCATTTGCCTTCCGTAAGCTCAGGCCTCTCATCAGGCTCAACCGTCAAGCGCTCGATGGGGGAAGCGACGACCCACTTATCGTACGCATCTTTGCTTACCTGGACTACCCCTGGCCACCAAAGTTGAGAGGAATCCGAAAAGTCACTCATCAAGCCCGCAATGAGCTGCAACCAATCCTGGAATTCCAACGAACCTCCAGCGGGATCTGGTGGGGCTAATTTGGGAAAGGTTGTAATGCCCGTTTTCACCGTTTCCGGGGCATCCTCCTTCCTGCTACTGCTAAGGTGCTGGGCTTGCAAAGTTTGCAGTTGCTGCACTCCCAACAATACGGCATCAAGTACGGTGTTACCTGATGTGGGAGGGCCTTGGGTTCCCCCCGGCGACACACTGGCTGCTCCTACTGGCGCCGTGCTGGCCTGAGCAGCTGAAGCCTGGGGGATTGGGGCACTAGCGGCAGCAACTGACTGGAAACCAGAGCCCGAAGCCCTGATCTGGCCCAAACCCGGGTTTTCGGCTCGAGAATGGGGGTCTGGGCCAGAAGAGGTGGAATCCCCTTGCACACCCGATAATGCGCTGCTTGGCTGCCCAACCCTTCCGGGTGGCGCTGGTGGCCTGGGAACCTCAGCAAGGGGTGTCGTTGGAGCCATTGGGGCACTACTGGTCATTGCCACTTCTCTCCTTACCTGTTCCCTAAGAGCTTGTTCCCTTTGGGCCGCCTCCTCCAGTTGCCTCCGCATCCTCTGTATTTCCAAGTCCTGAGCCTGCGCCCGTTGATCAAACCCCGCTAGCTGCCTTGCAACCTCAGCTTGAATCGCTTCTTGGGGCAGGGACGATGAGTCTGTTCTCGATGGGGGTTTTTCGGGCAGGCTACCGTAAAGTAAGGGGGCCCTCTGTTCTAAAGCTTGCATGCGCTGCAACATGTCCGAGCTCAACAAGGAGCCATCCCTTCCAGGAGGCGGTGCAAAGGAAGTGGGTGTACCATGCGCTCCCAACTGTGGTGGCGAGCTACTCTGCGAACCCAAACTCCCTTCTCCCAGAGCCAATTGCCTTGGAACACCGCTGGGACTATCACGTGATTGTGATGTGATTGCTCGTGGTGGTGTGGCGTGTGTGCCTTGCGCCACTGCGGGTACCTGCACCACCTCAGTGAGCGCTACACGGAAAAAATCCCCAACTCGCGTCATAAGCTGGAGCCCTGTACTAGGGAAGCCCTCAACCATCTCAGCTATGGTTGGCAATCCCTGTTGCGATCGTGGGGTCACAAACCCCTCCGTGGAAGCACCAGCGACTACTCTACCCCCTGGCTCTGCGTCACCACTCGCGGTACCTAACATGCCAGTGCTGGCCTCTAGCCCTGGGCTCCCGCCCGGCGCAACATTGCCCGGTATCGGCACAACCATCTGTACCTCATCACCGCCTTCAGTGGCGGTCGACACTTGTGGCATTCCCCCTGAGTCTGCGCAAACCCCAGTCTGGTCTATGCCTCCAAGTGCCCCTCCCGTAGCCATAGGTTCAAAGCCCATTCCACCTGTTTGGCCATGTACAAGTGCCGGCGTTGAACCTGGTACATTTGGCATACCATCCCTCCCGGGAGGTGGGGATGGCTGCTGTGCTGTGGTGCCATAGCCCTGCCCAAGCGTTGGGCTCATAACCTGCTGGTGTGAACCAGCAGGCTGGGAATAAGATACAAGTGGAGTGATCAATTCCCCTGCACCAGAACTCCCAGACATGGCTCACACAGTAGGCGGAGTTATTTTTTACACGCAAGCAAAGGACCGAAGTTAGTGCTACGTTGGGCGTGGCACCTACAACTATGGTACATGTGTTTTGTTTAAAAGCGTGCTCAAGGCTCAACCTGTGCATAGCCTAAAGAGCGACGGAAAAATGAACATGTACAACTGGCATGCGGCATGAGCTGCAAAGGTGGCATGCACTTCAGCAGTAACTATTTTCGCCTCTATACTAATCGCAAAACTGGCGCGTTGATTGAAACATAAACTTCAGATTGCACGCGCCACTCAGATCCAGTTGGGGGTCAAGCCCTCTACAAACTGACAGCCTATGAAACACATCTTGAAACCACTGAATGCCCCTAACACCAAGCAAGCAAAACCTTTGTAAACGATCCCAAAACCTTAGAGCGAAACTCCCATACAAACACTCTCTTCCTGAGCGACCAAACCCTAAGGTCCCTAAACCCTAAACCCCCCAAACCCTAAACCCCTAACCCCTAACCCCTAAACCCCTAAACCCCTAAACCCAAAGACTCTCTGCCTGAGCGACCACCTGGCCCTCCGAGGGAACCTGGGCACCCTCCTGGCCCAGGGGTCTTCAGGGGCTTTAGGGCTTTAGGGTTTTGGGGTTTTGGGGTTTAGGGGTTTAGGGGTTTGG